TACTTGCGTGTTAAAACATGTCATGTAGATCAGCTGTATTGATGTGTTTGTTGACTACAACAGCATTTCAGCACAGGACAGAACTCCACTGTGCTCATTTTAGGTTATCAGTTAATTGATTATCAATGATAATGCTGCATTTAATAAGAAAATCATTCAAAACGTGCATCCTTAGTGTCCGGCCACAGATCGTGGTCTGTCTCTACAACACCTGTGTGACAGCGGAGGTAAACAAAGATCAGGCTGAGGTTTGTGTCGATGCAGATCAATTAAAAATGTCTTGATGGGCCTGATCCTGATCTGAGACATCGGATCAGAACCTGCCCAGTTCTAGCTTAACTGTGAGGACACCAAACGGCACATGGAGGTGCCTGGACTACCTGGCCCCAGCAGCCGTCTGTTTTTCCATCGGTTTGTTTTTGTACTTTCCACCAGTCGGTGTCTGCCTCCTTAACGAGGTGAGCGCTGCTCCTGCTTCCTGCCTTTGTCCCAGCGTGGTTTCCTGGTGCCATCACACTCATGCTTGCATCACCCTCTTAAATACACCTAAATTTAACCTGAATGAAAAAATGTAATCCGTCATCTTAACTGGTGGCTGCTGTAACTCTGTGTTCCTGCTCTTGTTCCTTTGGCTACATCCTTCATGGTTTACTGTTGGACTCCGGGCTTATGCTGTGGTGACTCTGCAGCTTTCCTTCAGTGATTCAGCAACTAAAAGAACAGCTGACTGAGACCAAACTACCTGTTTCAGTCCTCTTCTTGTAGCTGGAGTGTAAAGGTTTGGTGCTCAGTGGACAGTGTGTGTGAAGGATGTTCCTGTTCAGAGAATGAAAACAAAAAGAGATGAGTTCATGGCTTTTTGCAGAATCTGTGCTGTGGGTGGCAGCAACTTCTGGAATTTAGAGCAAAGAAGGAGAGCGAGAGCATTTCCTCCCTCCAGAGCACAGATACCATGTCCATTTATAGAAGTCAGGCATGACAGCACAAGGCAAGACGCTGAAGCTGAATGGAGCTAGTGAGTCTGGATTAGAGGAAAAGCTCACCGAAAAAACAGTTCTGGGAAAAACACAGAAAGTCTGGCAGCAAGACAAAAATGTTCTAACACCGTAGAATAATGGACCATTCAAAAACTGTACAACAGTGAAAATATCTGTAAATAGTACATAAAGAATAAATATCGTTATAATTTTACTGGTTGTTTTCTGTAATTTTATCATCAAACATTGCAAAAAACATAAAACAAAATTGGGGTGAACTTGTGAATGAATTAACAGTAAATTGTTCATAAATTGAAGTTGGAAAGTGTTTAAAAAATGTTTTTACAGTGCAGAGGGGACGACAGTGTGATTATTAAAGCTTTTCTGACTAATTTCGGTTCACTTTAAACTCATTTCTGTCGGCTTTTTTTGTAGAAATGTCACAGTTTCTAGTTTAAGATTCCCCTGAAGCATTCAAGGATGAGTTTGCTTTCTTACGCTGATTGTTGTTGTAGAAACACTGTGAGAACACGAGGAGCTCTGAGCGCTCACCGTGCTGCAGCAGGCTTTAATCTTGTGAACATTTACACAGTTTACCGACTTCTCCTGCCTGCTCGTGCACGGTGTGTCTGCAGGTGCATATGTGATTAAACGCCACAACGTGTGCTCGTGTTTGTGCGGCCTGCAGGCAGGATTTCCGGCCAAAGTGTTGTTATTGGAACAATAAGTGTTGTTCTCCGACAAAACCAGAAATACAAACTGGCAACCCTCTGCTGCTTCATTCCTGCCTGCCGCTAATTTTAGTCCGTCGCACAAACACGGCGGCGTTGTATTGTCCTGCCACTGTGATGGGCTTCTGATTCTTGTTTAGGATTTATCAAGTGATCAAGCACAGAGGAGTTCTGTTGAACCTGAGTGCAGCCGAGATGGCGATGCAGCTCAGAGCTCTTCCTTTCAGTGCTGTTTGTATGTTTTATATGTTCAGTATGTGGAAGTGCATCAACCCTCGTCATACCAAAAAAGAAACCACTCAGTTTTACATCTTGCTTTTTATATCATAAGACAACAAGTAAACAATAATGTGTCATCACACACGTGAACAGCATCAGATGAAGTTTGTGTGCAGAGTTGAGTCAGTGCAGTTAGACGCTACGTCACAGAGTCACAGTGTTGCTTAGAAATAATGAACTATTCAGTCAGCGGATAACGTGTCTGACTTCTCATAGAAGACGGTCCAGATGTGTTCTTCCTCCTAAATGTCATGTGTCTATCTGCTGTACTGATGAAGTTCTGAGGCTCAGAAATGATGGAAAAAGTCCATTAAAGTGATCAATCTGGACCCTCCTCTGTGGACTTGAAGGACCTGGACCTCTGGAACATTCACAGTCTGAAGGTAGAACTCTGGTCAGTAGATAAAGGTTCTGCAGATACAGAACCAGATGTTCTGAGGAGGAACCTTTCTCATATTTGGTCGATGTTTAAATGCAACGATCCAGCAGGGAATCACACCAGAAGCTACTGTGAGTTGCGAACGTTTAAGTTATTAATTACTTCAACCCTTTGCTTTGTTGCTCCAACCTCAACCTTAAACCTGCACAAAGTAAATCACTGTCATTAGGTACAGATCAACCAAAACACCGGTATTTCCTACCCTCGATTAGACCACAAATGCAGCAACACACACACACACACACACACCCCGACACAGTGTGGGTCTAAACTTAGGCTTCTCCTACGTACTCCACAGTCCTGCGGGCCACAGTCTGTTCTATTCTCGGCTCATGACAGAAAATGTGCCAACCAGGAAGTTAGCGCTGTGCCACTTCCTGACTACGAGATCCAAACGGAGATACCAGCTGACACACAAACGCACACAGACGCACACACAGACACACAACCACAGCGTAACCTCCTGACCCGGCTGTGGAAGGGTGGAGATGTTTCTAAGTTATCCTCCAAGAACGGAGGTGCACTTACGTCGGTGTTTGTGTCTGAGTGGACGCACTGACTGACTGTGAGTTGGTGATTGTGTTTCTGGGTGATGACCGCAGAGAAAACAGGAAAGAAAACGACATTTCTCAGGGTGTGTGTGAGGAGAGAACAAACTTACGTTTCACATTGTTCTGTATCTGCAGCACCTTTATCTACTGACCAGAGTTCTACCTTCTGACTGTGAATGTTCCAGAGGTCCAGGTCCTTCAAGTCCACAGAGGAGGGTCCAGATTGATCACTTTAATGGACTTTCTCCATCATTTGGTTTAAATTTCCTTCATATGTCAATAGAAACCTGAGTTCTTATTATATGTTCCGACTGCTTTTATTGAAATCATGGCTCTTTGTTGAAACTGTTTCCATTCGGCGCCATCCTCCGGTCAGAGCGAGCAGACTCTGGGCTTTATTCGTCTGTTTGCAGGTTTTGTCCAGCGGCCACTCTTCGCTTTGCAAATCAGACAATTCATTCATTGTCTGTGTTTCCTTTTCATGTGGAAAGAACATCTGAACCTGTGTGTGTGTGTGTGTGTGTGTGTGTGTGTGAATCAATTCCTCGTTTTGACGCAAAATGACTGGAAATACTGATATCAGTCCCCGGAGTGATAACTCATGTGTTTGTGTGAAGGTTGTGTGATGAGGGCTCTCCAGTAATCGGAAATCAAGGCTCAGAACTTGATGTTACAGGAAACCTCAGACAGACAGCACATAAAACAATGGTGCTGTTTGGGAGAGAGTCTGCTTACTCCCCTCAGAGCAGTCCCAATAGTGGGACTGTTGTTATCATTATTGTAATTATTATTCAAAAACAGTTCATTACCTGAACACCTCACTCACGTACAGCTATCTCGCCTGAAGTCTGCGTATCAGACTCTGCTAGGTGTTAGCTATGCTGGCTAACCTGCAGGATAATGACCTGCTGAAGAGGTTTCTACCATCAGGAAAAGCTCAGAGTGATAGTTCCTCACATGTGAACTGTATTTTTTGCTCTGTGTATTAACGTCTGGGTTTGTCTGTGTGCCTCAGGGTCCAAGAAGAAGACGAAGGTCATCAAAAACAACCCCAACCCTGTTTGGAACGAGGTCAGTCCTCCACATCGCCGCAGGTTCATCGGTTGCTCAGAAGAGAAGCTGCTGCAGCAGTTCAGAGAATAAAAACAGAAGGATGTGTTCAAACATCTCTGAAATGTTTTCCTCATGGAAACTTTTTAAAGAACTGAATTTATATCAGAACTGTAATAATAAGGTGATAATGAGGCTCCTAAATGGAGAAATCGTTGTTATTTATTCAACATTTCAATAAATAAATCACATAATAATATAAATCTACCAACAAGTTTTAATACTAGGATTATAACCCACAGTTTTATTTATTGTACAGATATTCATTTTATGAGATTAAGACCCTACAATAATGTATTAAAAGCAATTTAGGTAATTTACTATCACAATTAAAAGCCTACATTATCATATATTATTTAGTTTTTCCTGACTAATTTAAATATGAGGTTTAAGGCCATAAAATATTTGTACTTCTACAAATAAACCTGACTGCTTTAAATATGAAGTTCTATACCCCACAATACTATTCATTGTGCACCTTTACTTGACTCATTTAATATAAAGATAAGGCCCTGTTATATTATAGAATACCTGGTTAATCTAAATATAAAGTTCAACACCCTACCATGTTCCATATAACAGATTTGATCGATATGATTTAAATATTTAGTATAAAACTCCACATGTTGTGTACAATGCTTCTTTAGCTGATTAATTTAAATATTAAGGCTAAAATCCTACAATATTATTTATTATATAAATCAACCCGACTAGTTTACATGTTGAGTTTGAGACAGTGTTATTTATTGTGTGGTTTCTGATCACTGTAGATATGAACAGAAAACAGGGAATCAATGAATTTGCAGCAGAAACTGTCCAGATGAGGACGAACCAACAAACAGCAGCTCAGCCTGATTAAACGATGGACGCTAACGAACTGCCTTCAGACTGTTTGTGCTGCTGCTGGTGTCTCAGCGTTGTGAGAAAACGTGTTTAACCTGTGAACATGTCTTGTCCCGTCACCTTTCTGGTTCTGTGTCTGCGTCAGGGCTTTGAATGGGACCTGAAGGGGATTCCTCTGGACTCTGGAGCGGAGCTGCACTGTGTCGTCAAAGACCACGAAAAAATGGGCAGGAACAGGTCGGTTCGACCGCCAATTAACCACTTTGCATCCAAATAACTGACCCTGAGCTATTGGCTGTTGGTTGTTGTTCACGGTTGTTGGTGATGTTTCATGTATAGATTCAGTCTAATGACGGTTTTCAGAGATAATTTACTCTTTAACTGACGTGTGCATTTGCCGCTTAAACAGCTGATTGTTGACAAAATAATACTCTTAGTTTTTGTATTTCTGACATTTCACTCAGTGTACATTTACATTTGTGTATAAATAGACAAAGTTAGGAGTTTGGTTCCAAATATGAAAGTTCTGGTTTAAAACCTAAACATGTTGTTTTTACACTAGAAAAACAGAATCTGGAAAAAATAACCCAATGTGGCAGAAAATGTATGTTTAAAAACAGTGAAGTAGTGATAAGAAGTAATGGGAAATATCTGTAAAATGATAGATTTAAATACAGTAAAGTTGAGTAATTTTACAGTCAAATAATGTAAAAGAACAAATTGTCATTTATAAAAATACAGATTTTTGAACTTTATTTATAGTTTTGGCCCGTTCTCTCAGTCAGCATATCAATTAATGTTTTTTCTTCTATGAGGTTAATATATTACCTTTTAATTTAACAAAGTAGGAGAAATCTGTATGATAACTTTTTAAAAAAATCCTGAATATACATAATTTCCCTTCAAATACCAGCAAAAAACTGTAAATTAGCAATATTTTTAGCCGATTTAAATTCAGTAAAAATTGTGTTTAATGTTCAAACACTGTCGAAGAACAAGTTGTTATTTGTAAAAGTACAGATTTCTGATGCGATTATGTCCAGTTTAGTTCTGGTTTTTCTGACAGTTAATACGATTTGACTGGTTTTTATGTCTAACTGTGTAGAATATGTGCAGCAGCAGCAGATTTAACTCGTCTCAGATCAAAGTGTGGAAGCGCTCGGAGCAGAGGGGCTGAGCTCCGAGCTGCTGCTGTTGCTGCTGCTGGTCCCTTCACCAGGTTATTTTTGGGTTGTTTAGCTCCATCAAGATGTCAGCTCTCCCAGAGGGGAAGGGCCGGGCATGAAGCAACCCGGTCATCCTCTCATTGTGGTTTTATTCGGCTGTATTTCCACCCATTCACCCGCCGATGTGTCGACTGATTAACCGATCCATTCATCTGAACCTCTCTGGTTTGGCTGAACTTTGAGCTCGTGTTATGGACGCTGTAAGGTCTCGTTTTACCTACGTTTGGTACCAGGACCGTCTCCTAAACACAAATCATTTTCTAATATTCTAACTGCTGAACGTCTCCTGTGGCTGTTACATGCAGAAACCACTTTAATGTTTTATAGAACAGTTTAATCCAGTCTGCTGCGTTCAGAGCTTATCAAGACTCTTTAGATTCTCCTCTGATCGTGTTCAGTTCTGGTTCCGTTGGTTCTGTTCCATCCTCAGACCGTGAACAGCGGTAACCTCCTGTCAACACTTGACTTTTCTACAGAGCAGAAAATGATGCTGCATGTTAGAAAATGATTCTGACGCACTTTTCAACAATCAGATAGACTGAAAACCCAGAAAGAAGACACACCGACTTCTGTTAAACCAGAGGAGAGCGGTACCAGTTGGACCTATAGAATAAAGTTTATCAGGTCGTGATCGAACAAATCAAAGGTCAGAGGTTTTATTTATGAAGGAAACATGGAGGATGATCACACCTGTTTCTTCCTCTGTTGAATCATTTGCAGCAGCAGCGCTTTTTAACGTCACACACTTTTATATTCCTAGTTTTTCTCGTTTAAAACAACCCGTTGACCGACACACCGCCGCTTCATTTTGGGCCAGTTTTTATGTCTGAAGCAGAAAGCCTGAGTTGACACAGAAAGCTGATGACCTCCTTCTGATTCTCGTTATCTCTGACTGGGGTTGTAGTTCCACTCCAGAGAGTCTGGATGTGTCAGACTTACTTTGTAGTGTGTTTTTAACACAGTAATCCTTCCAAAATATTTAAAATCTGTCTCCATTTTGATGTGTTCTGTTGTCAGAGGTCGCCTCCAACAGCTCAGACACCTAGCTGGTGTCAGACAAACGAGGTGCAGCAGAAAGAACCAGGATTATCGGTGTGTGTGCTCTGTGCAGGTTCCTGGGCGAGTGTCGGCTGTCTCTCAGGGATGTCCTGAACTCTCCCAGCCTGGCCGCCTCCTTCACCGTGTCCCTGCTGGACACCAAGAGGAACAACACGGGGGTGAGCGTTCACACACTGATCTACCGCACAGCCCGCTCTATCACCGATCATTAATCACTCTGGGTTTCCTGTCTGGAGCCTGAAATAGAGAGAGACATTCCTGAAGCCGCCCTCGCTTCGCTCTTTGTGCCTTTAATCATTTTCAGCCCGTTGATCCGTTGTTTTGCTCTCCTGGATGTGAAAGATAATCTACAACAATGCTTCCCAGCAACAGAAATAGTCTCCACAGAGGAATCGATAATCGATAAATAGCTGAAATAGGTTGAGTCTCTTTTTCTGACTGTGTTTAATTTTAGAAATACGAGTGAATTATCTGTAAATTCAGACACAACTAAACTGCTTTCTCAGTTCAGTTCAGGGAAATAAAACACTTTGTTAGACACAGATTTGAGCTCTAAAGTTCGACCCTTTCACTGCACGTTTGAAGCTTCTCCTCCATTTTCTGGGTTGCCATGGTGACAAGTCCCTCCCCTCTGATATCTGATTGGTCGGCTGAAACAGAGCAACAGTGAAGCAGTAAAATAAGAAGTGAAGAAACGTTGATTAGACGTATTTGTGATGGTTTAGGAGAGAGAAAGTTTGTTCCCCTCTAAACATCTGTGTTGTCCTCTCTGAGTTTAGCCAATCAGCATCAAGATCTGACTCAGGAGTTCATTTGCTGGAGTCGGCTTTTTAGTCTCCACCGTAAGCGACTAGAAGAGGTTCTCCAGGGACGGTTCTCCACCAAAAATGAAGTTACAGCAGGACCAAAACTTCCTCTTTACCCATCTCTGTGCAGATGTTCATCAGCTTCTGACCGAACCGTCGCTGCTGCTGCATCTCAAACCCTTAAAACCTAAACCTCACGTTTCATTTTTACACGCGTATAAAAGCGTGTAGCTCCGTCTGCGGCGGCGGGCCACGCCTACAGCCGTCTTCTGTTTTTTAGCGGCACATGAAACAGCGTTCCGTTTCCCATCCACGCTTCCTCCCAAACCCAGAACAGAGGCTTCCTGTCAGTGTCACCGTGGGTCTGATTGATGTGGCGCACACACACACACACACACACACACACACACACACACACACACACACACACTGTGCTTATTTACTTTACATACCTGGTCAGTTTCAGACAGTTCAGATTGAGCCATTAAGGACCCTTAGGCTGACTAAATTTAACATAAAGAACATTTCAAGGTGAGCATTGAGTGTTTTACAAATGATTCCCACCAAAGCAGTGGATTCGTGAATGTTTAGCTGTGATCTGACCAACAGTGGACTCATGTGGATGATGTTTGTCACGTTTAGGGATAAATCTGCTCAGCTGCAGCAGACTTTTCATGTTTATTTGTGGTTTCTGCTGCAATTTACGTTTGTGTTGTTGCTGCAGTTCAAAATAGAAAAAATTAACTACCAACAATTTGAAACAAAAACAGGAAAAACGTTTGTCAGCTTTAAAACGTGTGTTCCTAAATACATAGCATGATTAAATCTGCTGAAAATATGTTGGAAAACTAGCTGAAACAACTTAATTTTTATGTGTAATAAACTTGTGTTTATGCTGCCAATCATTAAATAACTAGAAATAAACAGGAAACGCTGATTCTCTGGTGTTACTGTGCATTAGACAGGATTTCATAGGAGGTGATCTGAACTCAGAACCACTGATGCAGACTGTTGCAGCAGTTTAGTTTTTCTGGAGTCCAAATGTTATTTTTGGAGGAAGGATTTTAGAAAACCTGTATTCATGCTAGAAGTAGTTTTACTTCCACGTCTTCACCGTCTCGCTACATGTGCGTCAGTAGAAGCAGACGCCGAAGCTCGATGTCTTTGTTTACAGAAACACTTCAGCTTATCACTTAAGCTGCTTTTTCCTGTTATAGGAAACAGCAGAAGCCCACAGCTTCTACTGCTGCACTAGGATGAAGAAAACCCGCTCATCTCTGCTGCTGGCTTTAACTGGTTTAACGTCGTTTAAAAGGTTGACAGACGCATATCTCAGACTTCATTCTGACTAGGCAGAGTTTTTAATCCAGATGTCTCTTGATTGTTCTGACCAGTCAAAACAGCAGCTAGAGCACATTTTGACAACAGTAAGTGCAGATATGTCAGACAGAGGTTAGTTTGAGAGTTAGTTTAGAAAACGCTGTGAAAGAAGAAGAGCTCATCAGGAAGGAGTTTGTGGAGAACCAGAGCTTCGTCTGCCACACTCAGATTTATTTATAAACCATCATAAATACGTCTCATCAACGTTTCTTCACTGTTTATTTTACTGCTTCACTGTCGCTCCGTTTCAGCCAACCAATCAGAGATCAGAGGGGGCGGGACTTGTCGCCATGGTAACCCAGAAAATGGAGGTGAAGCTTCAAACATGTGGTGAAAGGGTCGAATTTTAGGTCAAATCAGGATGTTTTTCCAAGATGAACAAGCTTCTAACATGCAAAAGTGTGTAATTTCCCTGAGCTCAGCCTCGTAGTGTCGTGGACCAAATTCACTGGAGTCCAATCTGTGTTCAGAGCCACAGTATGTCTGAAAATCCAGCTGCCTCCTACTCGCTGTACCTTCTGACCGAGCTACCGATTCCTGCAGAGTAATTTCACCTCTATAAAACTAACCTTCGATGTCTAATTCAAGAGATCTGTAATGACATTTTCACCTTGCAGAGTTCTGGTTCGATCAGTTCACACTTATTTGAAAACATCTGAAGGTGACCAGCTTGCTGTCCTCAGACATGGAAACTAATCAGGTCTAAGTAAGGAAAGGGCTCGTCCGGGATTTGAACCCGGGACCTCTCGCTCCCAAAGCGAGAATCATACCCCTAGACCAACGAGCCACAGGACATGCTCTTTAGCAAGGCATTTATTCCCTCTCCTCACTGTGGCTAATTATTCACTGTAATAAAAAGTCCTGCACCTCTACAGAAACAGAGCAATCCTGGCTGGAAGTAGAGAACATTTTAAAATGGAAACTCATTTAATACCACAGGTGGAGGAGGAGCAGAGTAAAGACCTTGTTAGGACTCATGCAGGTCCACCAATGAACACTCTTAGATGCGTAAACTAAACCAGCTGAAGAAGTTAAGGGGCTCATCCAGGATTTGAACCCAGGACCTCTCACACCCTAAGCGAGAATTATACCCCTAGACCAACATGTTACCCTGCATTTATTTTTATTCCAAACACACCTGCAGCATGATTCAATCATTTGAGTGTGTTCGTAAAGGGCTCACATTAAAAGACTCAATGAGGTAATGTCAGAGAGTAAAAGTCCATTAGGAGCCTCATAAATAAATAAAGCTGAGTGTCCATCAGAGGGAGGGCCACCCTGCCTCAGAGTACAGCTCACTGGTGAGCATTATAACCATCAGCAGTGATAAACCTGAATACAGACTGACTGACTGACAGCTTTGGAACGGAAAGCTGCCTCAATAAACCTCTTTCCACAGCGCAGCCAAAAGCGTAAAGAACCAGTTCTTACTCACCCGTCTGGACACGTGATGTTCACACAACAAACCTCCCATCAATCCAAATTCCAACATCTTTGTGCTCCGTGACTGTTTCAGTATCCATACCACTGACAGTACAGGCTCTGGTGACTGATGAGTCGTCTTTATATGTTTTAATAAGGGACGTCTGTGGCTCGTTGGTCTAGGGGTATGATTCTCGCTTAGGGTGCGAGAGGTCCCGGGTTCAAATCCCGGACGAGCCCCTTAACTTCTTGAACTGGTTTAGTTTCCACTTCTGAAAGTGTTCTGGATGAGTCCTAACAAGGTCTTTATTCTGTTCCTCCTCTACTTGTGGTATTAAATGAGTTTCCATTTTAAAATGTTCTCTACTTCCAGCCAGGATTGCTCTGTTTCTGTAGAGGTGCAGGACTTTTTATTGCAGTGAATAATTAGCCACAGTGAGGAGAAATGAGACCAGAGCAGATTAATGCCTTGCTAACATGTGTGTTGTGTGGCTTGTTGGTCTAGGGGTATGATTCTGGCTTTGGGTGTGAGAGGTCCTGGGTTCAGTCCTGGACGAGCCCCTTAGTACGGTCTACACTCTGATCGTCTTGTGCTTTTTATATTAACTCCTGGTTGGAGGAGAAAATTCGCAAATGTTCTTCTCTGTTTGAACACATGCTGGTCCAGATTATTTCATTTTTTTCAGGGGTTTTTACAGATCCAGTTTAAAACATCCTGAACTGCTGACAGACTTACTGGAGCTGCCCTGATACGATCAAAGTTGGTATGATGATGATTATCAAGCTGCTGGCCAGCGTAGCAGATGAGCATAACGCTAGCGATAAATTATACTATAACTCAAAACTCATTTAAAGTTCTCACTGCAGAACAGACAATATTCTGCCTGCATCAGCAACCGTTGGAGAACCATGCAGAGGAACATCTGGGAACTTTCAAGCTGCAGTGTTAAAACTTGGCATGATTGGAACTTATTGCATATTAGCAGCAAACAATCAATTATGAAAGTGTTGGGGGCTCGTCCGGGATTTGAACCCGGGACCAACGAGCCATCCACGCTGAGCCCCGTTTCTACTTTTGGAACCAACATTAAGAGTCACAGCATACAAATAGGTTAGAATTTATGTGTCCACACTGGTGAGCAAACTGCAGTAATGTGTGGCTGCACTGCAGGAAGAGGTTCACTGAGGCAGCTGTTTATTATTTCTGTATGCTGGTGACATATATCAGGTGTGACTGTGACGTTATCATCACTCTGTATTACTGTGGTCGTCATCAGGCTGAGGACTCGTCTGTAACTCTTCTCTGTGTGTCCACCAGGCCACGCTGACCCTGCAGGTGTCCTACATCCCTCCTCCAGGATCAGCTCCTGTCTTCCAGCCTCCTCCTCCGCCGGAGGCTCTGCCCCACAACAACCCCAGTGTGGAGCTGGACACCGTCACAGGTAACCCCATCTGTCTGATCATCACACAACAGACTGGTCCCCATTTACTCCATCACTGGCACAGTTTGAGGCCTTGAATATTCTCAGAAATGGAGCCAGAACGTGTAAAAGCTTCTCATCATCACCTGTTTTATTTTCAACCAGAACCAAATGATGTATTGTGCATTAAAAGATGACGTCAAACTGTATGTAATTAATTTTTGGTACCCTAGATGCCTGACTTTTTCTGCTTTTGACAGATTTGTTTTCTTGTGTGTCATGATGTTTAATTTAGGAGATGTGGTGCAAAGTACAATATTTAGTCAAGTACAGCGACTATTTGTTAAAGTATTCGGGGCCCCAAACTGTCCAAGTCTACTAAAGTTACGGTTTAATGGATGTGTGAACATCAACATGAAGTGTCTCCGGTGTGTGAGCTGGTTCCATGTTTTGCCTCCTGCAGTGATTTCTCTGGACACGCTGGGTGAGGAGGACACTGAGAGCATGATGATGCTGGAGGCCACCGAGGACCAGGGGCCCGACGACGGACGCTCCATGGTGATCGTCGGCCCCCAGGGGCCCCCTGGCCAGGAGTCCCCCACCGCCCAGACGCCCAAACGCTCGCCTCCGTCCTACAACACCCACGGAGGGCTGAGGAAGAGGAAGAGAGGAGCCAGCAGTCAGCCCAAACCGCTGCCCAACAAACCCCAGGACATCCAGGTTTGTGACCGGACCGTCTTCACTGGAAGAGTTCTCATCAGGTTTCACTGAGAAACACGATTTATGTCTCTGCAAAAAAACCTGACAGATTCAAACGAAGCTGATAGTGAAGCTGATCCATATTACAAACTACAGTGTTAGAAAAATCTGTAATTTTACTGAATATTTCTGATTTATTCTACAAATTTCACAAAAATATCGATAAACAATACAGAAACAATCAACATTGAGTTTCCTCGTGTCATTTAAAATGACTTTAAAAGCTCTAACTGTGAATAATAATAATAAAATAAAATACATTACCAGATTTATTTTACTTATGAATGCTGGAAATATTTTCTTAAAAATAAGTGACAGTTTTAATTTTACCAATAATTTTGTTTCCTTGATGAGGGAATTTGTTTATATTTTTCTGTCTTTATTATATATAGATTATAGTTAATTGCATTGTTTATGTTTTATGTTTACAAAATGTACATGAAGTTTACTTTCATTTAACATTTAAATTAATAATCAATATAACAGTAACCCTAATGTGTTTAGTTTAGTCATTAAGTTTTAGTCATCTTTACATCTGTCAGTCTCATTTTAAATGTTAGTGTCTCAGCTTTGTGAGGCTCCAGCTGAAGCCATGTTTGTGTACCGTTGCCACGGTTACAGGGGCTATTATGGGCCACCGCTGGGCCTCAGTGTCCATCTTTCAACAGACTGCTCCCTCTGCTCACCTAGCATCAGCGTTAGCATTAGCATTAGCATGATCACAGCTGCTTGTTCTCTCAACATGTCACAGTAATTTCTAACATAATCATATTTAACATGTTTAATTTGAGAGTCTATTACTGTTTTAGTGTCTGTTCACTAAATAAGTCTGGAAATGTCAAAAACACAGTCCTGCCAAACATTTAGTCTGAGAGAAGAAAGGCAGGGCAGGTTTCAGATCAGACGTTTAGTGATGTTCTGTGCTGTGCTGAATGTGATGTGTTTGCTTATAGCGCCGCTCTGTGGCGGTTTGAATGCATCACACAAGAACATTTAAAGAGTTTCAGGATGAACCGAAGCCTGAATTCATGCCGAATGATCTCCGTGCTTCATGCTGCTGCTCAGGTTCGTGTGCGGGTCATCGAGGGACGGCAGTTGCCGGGCATCAACATCAAACCTGTTGTCAAGGTAACGGTAGCCGGGCAGACCAAGAGGACCCGCATCCGAAAGGGCAACAACCCGGTGTTTGATGAGGTACTGACCGGGACTTCTCTCCTGATGGCGTTCTTGTTTCGTGATGCTCCAATCAGAACTCTAAATGTGCTTCTCTACCTTCTCAGACGTTCTTCCTGAACTTCTTTGAGACGCCCTCGGAGTTGTTTGATGAACCGATTTTCATCACAGTGAGTGTGAATCTCAGTCTGGTGTACATTTTAATTTAAATCACACATGTAAGAGGTAGAAGCAAATGTTCCTGACTTGCTGTGTTTGTATAAAACTGGTGAGTTAGGGTAGGATTTCAATTAAACGCAGAATCTTCCTGTCTGTCTTCCTCACAGGTGTGCGACTCTCGTTCTCTTAGAACCGACGCCGTCATCGGTGAATTCAAGGTGAACTGTTCTGGACACATTGAACCTTTAAAATGGCCTCACAGGTTTTGTTTTGAGGGTGAAAATACAAACATTATCAGCTCTGAAAGGTTTTGGTCCCACATGACAAATATTTAACAGAGTTAGCAAACGTGTTGTGAAAAGAAAAGAAATCTGAATCCTCCCGTTGCTCTCCACAGCTGGATGTGGGCACCGTCTACAGCGAGCACAGTGAGTATGTCTGCGTGATTTAAAGGTCAAAGTGAATGAATTCATAGTCATGAGTCTGATCATCGGCTGTGTTTACTTCCTGGTTCTTATGAAGTTCTCGGTTTGTGGCTGTAAATCAGTTGAACTCTGCCTCCTCTCTCTTCAGGACACTGCTTCTTGAGGAAGTGGCTGCTGCTGTGCGACCCCGATGACCTCTCTGCGGGGGTCAGAGGTTACCTGAAGGTCAGCCTGCTGGTGTTGGCAGCCGGAGACGAGCCGCCGGTGAGTCTGATGGCAGACTGGATCGGTGCAGATCGGAGGAGAGAAGAGTTCATTAGCAGAAACAGATAACTCCATTATTGTAGATTTTCAGACAACTTATGTTTTTGTTGTTTGCTTGAGATAAAATCAGTCAAACTGAAGCTGAGTGGATCTGACTCAGTAGAAATGACAAAAATAGAGATAACTTAGGTTTGATTGGTGTTGTCTCAGGACGACGATGGAAAGGTGGGTTCTCTGAAGGTTTGAGAAGATGCAGTTATCTGTTTTTGCAAATGAACTCTTCAACTGTTTCTCACTTCCACTACTGCTTGGATTTCATTCAACGTTCACACCAGTGCAATTTATGCAGTAGTGTTAGCTTGTCGACTTTTGCTCGTATTAGCAGCTAAATTCTTGCTTTTGTAAACATTTACTCGACAGAGCTGAAGTGCGACAATATAGAAGATGAAGTTGCAAAAGTTAACCGACTCCTCTGTACATCTAGTCTAGTATGGCAAACTTAAATGTGACTGATAAATGGGAATATGAAACTGTCCTCCGTCCACATGAGCCCTGCAGAACAGCTCGACAGAGTTTGTGACCAGCTGGTGACAACAGATCGTTTAGATCAACAAGCAGATGTGGGCAGTTTCATCTCACATCAGACTTTTAGCACAATTCAGTTCCACCGTCTGATTTTCCTGAATTTTTTAGAGCATAAAATATAGATTTGTTTTTATAAAGATACCTGTGAAATTTTATCTTGATATAGCAAATCCTCTCCAAGATAATTAAAATAACTATCAGCAGGTTTTCTTCTCTCCAGCTGAACCTCCGTTGTTCTATTTCCTACATAGAAGTGAACTGTGCTCAGTGGCTGCTATAAGTGGTGCAGACTGAAGTGGAGAAACGCTTCCTGTTACTGTTGCTCAGCTCATGTTTACCCCCAATAAGAGAAATCAGTAACTTCCTCCTGTACAGACGCCTTTTGGGTTTCCTCTCATCTCTCAGTCATTCATAGATGTGATTATCTTCACTGTGTCTGTTTCCAGGCGGACAAACGTGAGTGTGTGGAGGATAAGGAGGACATAGAAGGGAACCTGCTGAGGCCGGCCGGTCTGTCTCTGAGAGGAGCCACGTTCACCCTGAGGGTCTTCAGGGCAGAAGACCTGCCTCAGAGTGAGTCTCCATTGTGTGCTCCTCCATATAAGATCTACCAAGTCTGAACAAAGCTCCCCCAAACTCCTCAGAATCAGCCGGTTTAATGACACCATGCTCAGCTTGTAATTAGCTCTGCCTGTCTGCCTGCAGTGGACGACGCCTTCATGGACGGGATGAGGCAGATTCTGGGCTTTGACAGCAACAGGAAGAACTTAGTGGACCCGATGGTGGAGATACACTTCGCTGGAAAAACAGTGAGTCGGATGTGAAGTGGGTTCCCATCAGAATCCACTGAAACCCAGCATCAGGGTCCAGCCGTGTGAAGGTGGACTGAGCTGTCTTTGTTTCTCAGGTCTGCACGAAGATCCTGGAGAAGAATGCAAACCCACAGTGGAACCAGAGCCTGGCCATGCCCATCAGAGTGAGACCCCTAAACACACACACTCCAAGAACGTCTGCTTATCATCATCATCATCATCATCATCATCATCATCATCACTCAGCACACCTTTTCTTTGTCCTCCACAGTTTCCCTCCATGTGTGAGAAGATGAGGATCAGGATCCTGGACTGGTGAATCCCAGCTCATATGTTCTTTTTGTTGGTTTAAACTCGCCAGAATACGAAGTTTGTTGCAAGTATATGTTGATTTTAGAAGCAGACACTCTGACAGTTGTGCAGAATTACCTGTTTGGGATTAACTCACGGGTGCTCAGGCTCAGAATTTCTTCAATACTCAGGAAGACATAAAAACACGACCAGGCTAATTCTGCAGGCGTTGGTAAAGGGATTCTGTCTTTTGTGATGTCTGAATGGATTGATGGACATTTGCTCCTGAGACTGAAGAGTGTAAACCTTGATAACTTTTCATGCCGTAGCTTCACACATGCAACACATCTCCATTAAGTCGTTCTGGTGCTCAGTGGGGAGTTGAAGATAAAACTGTGATTTCATGTCTCCATGTGTAAGAGCTTTGGGTTCTCCTGCTGTTTGCTGCAGGGACAGAGCCAGTCACAACGACGTCATCGGCACCACCCACCTCTGCATGTCGAAGATCTCCGCCCCCGGAGGGGAGATCGAGGGTGAGTCCCTGTTCTGGGCCGGACCGGTTCAGTTTAGAACAGGCTTTACTGCACCACAGTGCTTCTGTTTGACTTGTCTGGTTCGGTTTGAGACATTTACTCACATTTATATCATTTGTTTTGCTTTGGTTTCCCTCCACACTGCCTGAAAACAAGCTGGAGCTGCTGGGACACTTTTACCAGCTGCTTGTTCTGCAGATGCAGTTTCACAAAGATGGTTTCAAACGACAGGCTTTATCTTGAAGCTACAGAAACAGGCTCAGACCTTTTACAGAATATTTCCCTGCAGGCTTTCTTCAACCTTAGCTTATCTCAGCTCATCACTATAAGTACCTGAGAGTGGTGTATCAGACCACACACACGCTCTGTAAAATATTCAGACTGAATTTGGGAATATCTAGTTTTCAGACCAGTTTGTGAAATGTCGACCAAAGACTATATTTAGTAGAAATATGGATCCATCCACATATATACACTTAGAGGAACTTTCTGGGGACACAACACCACCCTTATTTAAACAATTTGCACTATTTTTTTTACGTTTTCCAGGTCCAGTAATTAAAAATGTGTCTGGATCCATTCAATCATTAGGATCTCCAGGGAACTGTTCAGTCAGTGTCCTCACTAACTTTCATGGCTGAGGGAGTTTTATTTCTGGACGCACTGAACCCCTGAAATGGCTTCACTGTTTGGTTTTGAGGGTGAAAATCAAAAAACAAAAAACTCACAGGTCTGGAAACAGGAAATTCTCCAGATTCAGCCAAACAGTTTTTCCACCATGTTGAAGTGACCCTGGAGTGACTGAAGGGGCTTCATCATGACTTGAGTGACCACTGGAGGGATCTGTGTTTGTGAATGTGATGCAGCATGGATGTTGTTCTGTTGACCTGCATGAAGACTAACTCGCTGATGTTTGTGTGCTTGAGTTCTTGGTCTTTGGAGTGGAGACAGCTTGCATGAACCTTGCTCACAGTTTGTGTTGCGTTTGTTTTTGCCTTGAAGATATTTATAATGATGAGCACCTGGCAGCTGAACACCACCAGACCAAGGCTCGGAGAAAGCAGAAAGATTTCATATTGCAGCTTTTTTATTGCTTTAATTCTCCCTAAGAGCAGCTGTGATGCTAGAAATGTTTTATGTGGTGAGACGGACATTTTGCATACAAAAGGACTTTTCGCAAGCAACAAACACAGACTTCTTTCAGAGAAATCTGTTGCTGGGATCTTTGTCTGAACCAGTGTTTGTTCATTTATTATCTGAGGCGTTTACAGATCCTGTCTGTGACATCATCTTGTGCTCTACCTAATGCAGAGGAGCAAAGTAAACACCTTAAAGGGCTCGTCCGGGATTTGAACCCAGGACCTCTCGCACCCAAAGCGAGAATCATACCCCTAGACCAACGAGCCACAGGACACACCTGTTAGCAAGGCATTAATCTGCTCTGGTCTCATTTCTCCTCACTGTGGCTAATTATTCACTGTAATATAAAGTCCTGCACCTCCACAGAAACAGAGCAATCCTGGCTGGAAGTAGAACATTTTTAAATGGGAACTCATTTAATACCACAAGTAGAGGAGGAACAGAGTAAAGACCTTGTTAGGACTCATCCAGGTCCACAAAAGGACACTTTTAGACGGGGAAAGGAACAAGTTTGAGACCTTAAAGGGCTCGTCCGGGATTTGAACCCGGGACCTCTCGCACCCTAAGCGAGAATCATACCCCTAGACCAGGGGTTCTCAAACTGGGGGTCGGGACCCCCATGGGGGTCCCAAGATAATTTCAGGGGGTCACCAAATCATTATTAAAAAAATAATAATAATAAAGCCTACATTTATCAAATAGATGTGTATTAGGGCTGTCAAAATTAAAAGTATATTTCTTCTTACTCCTTTTTCGGACTTGTTAATATTATGATTTGATTATATGATATTATTATTCTTTTTTGCTCTTTTTCAATGCTTTTTTAAAAATTATTTTCTTTTGTTTTTATATTTTTTTCCCCTTTCATTTGTTCGAAATACATTTAGATCATTCATTCAGAAGAAAATTAACGTGTTAATGTAAAGAGATTAATCTGTGGAATTAACACATTAATTTCTAATGCATGAACAACAAAGTTATTACTCATGCTATATTAAAAATTCAAATTGGGGGGTCACGAACACAAACTTATGTTATCTTGGGGGTCGTGGCTCAAAA